CGGCATCAGTGAAAATTTCCAAATCGTCTAAACTATTTAGACATATATCTCTTAGTGAAAAACTAAATTAAATGCCAATTATTATCAATAACAAAAATTAAAATATTCACCTCTCTCCAACCATTTCAGGAGCGTCAACATAATTTTCAAAAAATTTACGCGATGATGCAATTAGGAGAACACTACGCTCCTGGTCGATATTAAAGAATTAGGTAATAAAACCCCATAAAAAAGTAATTTTGAGAAGGGGTTTATAACTTAATAGATCCAACTAAACCCATTGAAAATTTATTTATTCTAAATTTTAATACCTTCTCATCCAAAGCGTTCTGCCATTGTTGAAAAAGTGAACATAATTCTTGTTGCTGCTCAGCAGAGACTCTAATGCTACATTAAATAAATAATAAGTTAAAGGCCAATGGATTAGGCGATAAAAAAAAAACTACACAGGTCGAGCATTCTAGACTATAAGACTTCTGCCAATTACAAATTACAAGATTGTTCACTCAAATTTTTTCATAATTTATAATATGTATCTGCTCTAATAATAAATTAATCATCTGTCTAAGAGGTAGACACATAAAGTATTTATTGTTCAACCTGCGATATTCGATAACTACAATCAGAACTCACATTTTGCGTGAAAGCCGTTTCTCCAATAGCTTTTCTTGCACAAAAACTTCACTGCCTGGTGCAACACCGTATAATAGACTACTCTTTCGTCTAGCCTCAGTTACGCGTGGATCTTTTTGCGAGCCAACACTGGATTTCCTTGAAAGTCGCTCAGTAATCTTTAAAGGTGTTGTCGATGTTACAGAGGGTGTTGCACCAAATATTGGATTTGAATTCTTAAGTTGGCCAACAAATTTTGACCACATAATGTTGTTTATTTCTAAGTCGTCGCACCGTTACTTGAGAATTAGCCTAGCTAATAAGGCAATTCATAAAACGGTTTGCGGAAAATAGTGTAAATTAGCACTATAACAAAATATCGTGACAACTTGTTCGCCGAAAGTTGATTTTTTTTTCTACTATGAATCGGTCATTTTATATTTGGAAAGAAAAGCGCCACATTATTTCAAGCTGAGTACAAATTTGGATATGTGTCTTAAAAGTTTCTTTCTTGATGTTCTTACTCTTATTGTATCAAGGATAAATTAAGAAAGATACTAAAATCACATCTACAGCGCCAACCTCTAAATAAATTCTCTGTTACGAATTTTTTTTATACAAAATTGTCTTATCGTTATACTCGGCAATGGATGAAATTATTAGTCGATTAAAGAATAAGTGTGTATGTTCTTTATTAAAATGAATTTAATGTCATTTACACTGTCTAACCACATGAACGTAATATTCTATATGACAGAGATAGGGCCATTCAACAAAAGGCCGCACAAGATCTTCGTATATTGGTAATTGATTCGTTTTTAAAATAACTTTATGGTTTTGTAAAGCAAAGTAAGGGCTTAGCGACTTTATTTGACGTGAAATAAGGTCGAAGGACGACCTAGCCTATTAAATGAAGCGAATAAAAGAATATTTGAAATGATGCAAGGGGACACCCCCGATTTTCATAAAATCGGCGGGATACTTGCAATTGGCAAGTAAATGATTATGTTTTTATTTATCAATTTATTTATTTAATACACATAATCCTCATCTTTTGTGCAAAGCATAACCAATTTTATTATTATTTTTTTAGACTCCCTGATAAATAACAATATCGAAACAACAACATTATCTCGCTTCACGAATTATTTAAAAATGGTTCTTCCAAGTGGAGACCAGCAAATCATGATTTTAGCATCAAAAGCACTAGGTACTTATAATCATTATATTCAACTTCATTGTTTTTAATATTTATTTATAACTGTTTTTAATTCAACGATCAGGCAAATTGGCTGCACCTAACGGTGCAGTAACAGCTATTTTCGTAATGCGTGAAGTTAATACTGCTTTGGAATATTTGCAAGGTAGGTTTAATTAATATCAAATATTAAAATGACATCTTACGGATTTTACTTCCTTATTGATACATGCAACTATATAGGAGATCGTCAGGAGTTACGAAGATATGCAGCAGCACTTATACTTCGTGAACTTGCACAAAATGCGCCGACACTCGTGTATGGGCATGTACCAGCAATCTTAGACTCAATATGGGTTGGATTACGCGATCAGAAACAAATAATAAGGGAGGCCTCTGCAGAAACTTTGAGTGCTTGCCTTAAAATTGTGTATGAACGTGAAAGTGTATTAAGGATTCAGTGGTATAACAAGATATACGAAGAAGCCATAAAGGGTATAAAAAGTAATAGTACAGATCAGATTCATGGAGCGTTATTGGTATACCGCGAATTGCTAAATCATGCACAGGCAGTGAGTGTAGTCTATGATTCATGTTATTATGAAAATTAGAGATCAAGTAAATTTAATTCTACGAAATTACATAGTTTATGCACGAAAAATATAAGCACGTTTGCGAAACAGTGCATCGCTATAAAGACCATCGTGATGGTCTTATTCGACGAACCGTTATTTCCTTAATACCAGTTCTTGCAGAATTTGATGATAAAGAATTTGTAGCTACTTATGTTCAAAAATTCATGTCGCACCTCTTGCTGCAGCTCAAGAAAGATCGAGACAGATCCATTGGTATGCAGGCTTTCTACATTTATTAATCATGTTTATCCAGGCAATTAAGTTTAAGTGC